CCCCCCCTGCTGTTTGTGTTGAATATTACACATCCACAAACACAGTGGTTTTGGCTCTGACACTGGCATGTTTATCTGTCTAAACAGCTATTTTTGTTTAAATTCCTTTAGCTTCTACATCTGTGAGTATTTTCTACTTTTCTCAGTTTTACAAGAAAGACACTCCAGGAAATTTTGTAATAGCACAGGTGATACAAGCAGAACATCCCGGGAGCAAAATATCGTTCAATCTTCATTTTAGGGAAAGCTAGCAGGAGCTGTAGACTCACCGGTCCATCACTTTTGATGAGGAGTGAAATTAAAGTTACTGTAGATGCGTTCTATAAGTTAACTACCTTGAGGTGTTACCAAGATGATTTCTAAAAGGTCTCTGGTTGGTGTTGACTGGAGAGGTTAAGAAAAACGATGGACGGATAATTGTAATTTATTTATAATTGTATTTGATGAACTTGATCTAAACACAGAAATTAGACATCTGTTGTTATATATTTAAGGATGAAATGCATATTGTTATTGTTCAGTTAATTTACCTGAAGATATTTAAAACTTATGACAAGTAGAATATCACCGCAGTGGAGGTTTAGTATCGATCATGTGTCATGTGATTAACTGCTAACAGTTAACAGGATCCTAATCAAACAGGACAGTTGTTGATTTGCACTTTTGTGCTCGTCAGTCATTAGTTTAGATCAGTTAAACCAGCGACCTTCGTGTGTAGAAGTTAATCAAACGATGTTCTTTTTCCTCCAGCTCAGCCACTACCTCGATGTGGTGGAGGTGAGCATTGCTCGACAGATCTCGCTGCGTTCCGAAGCGTTTTTCCATGCTATGTCGTCGCAGCACGAGCTGCAGGACCAGCTGCAGGAGACGCAGCACGCCGTGGCCGTCCTTCGGGGCCGTACAGCTGCCATGGACCAGGTCATGTGCCAAGGACCTCTCCGGGCTCTCTGCACCGCCCTGAATCGCAACAACTGCGTGAAGCTGCACAACAAGCTGAAGCTGATGGCCGCAGTGCATCAGACACAGCCCACTGTACAGCTGCTGCTCTCCACCTCTGAGTTTGTTGGAGCACTGGAACTTATCGCCACCACGAAGGAGGTGCTCCAGCAAGAGCTGCAGGGAATCCACAGCTTCAGGTGAGAATGTGTTTACTGGATCAGTTTTACTAGGAGAGTTTTTGTTGTGATGTCTGAAATTGATGTTCTACAAGCAGCCAACAGAGCAGCTGTATCCTATTATATAGATGTACAATCCTGTGTTTACATCTCTCAGACATCTGGGCTCCCAGCTGTGCGAGCTAGAGAAGCTGATCGATAAGATGATGGTGGAGGACTTCAGTATGTACGCTCACAGTGACCTGAACCGCAGCCTGAGAGATGAGCCACAGGTTCTGGAGAAGGTCTGAACAATCACCTTCAACACAAAGGGTCTAATAGATTTCAGGATGGTCATGTTTAGAAGAAGAACTGTTGGGGAATGTGCGGTTGCCATTTACATTTGCATACGTCTCTGTATACATGATAAATATCAGTATTCATGCTACATCTACACACACAAAACATCAAC